TAACAAAAGTTACATGTACACATGAAGAAAAAAACCCAAATACACTCCTGTTACATTACAACTCTTTCACATTACAACGCTTTCCCCTTAAAAATCAATGCCTTGTTTTGTCAGGAATATTTATGGAGCACTGCTGCACAGTATCATGACAAGATTTAAAAGAAGAGCAAATGAACCCTTAGAGACAACAGCTGGAAGTTCCTCCAGGCAGACTTTAAAACCCTCAGGTTGCTCCAGGATCTCACATCCATCCATCCATCCATCCCGCTGTCCCAGATGCACCATGCCCCATGCATGACCATGCAGAGCTCAGTGAGTGACACCAGGACCAGTGGCTGCTGCAGCTCAGCTCAGTACAGTGCAATGCATTAGAATGAGCAAAATTACATGTAAATAACTAATAATAATAATAATTTCTTGCTTTCTGCTTTGATAATGAGTTACAGCTGCATAAAGCAGAAACCCAGTCAGTAACTACAGGCACTGTTATGTCATGGGCTCAATCAGAATTCTTCAAACTGCTTTACTTCTACTGACCACATGTTAAGAGTTCTATTTATAAAAATACAGTGTTTCAAAGTAAGAAACAGTCAAGCTCTCCACAAGCATGTTCATCCCTTCAGTGTAATGCTACTAACAGCAGCTCTTCTCAGGCTCCTGCAGCCCCACACACTGAAAATGCAGGGGATGTACAAGCTATGCAGTAACTCAGGTGTGCCCTGTGAACGTACCTTTCTAATGGAACACCTGGAATTCAGTCACCTTATGCCAACCCACACACCTGTGACCAGTTACCAGCTCCACTAGCACCACCAAGCACCACAAACAATTGCCAACAAAGGCCCTTTTGGGGTGGGAGCCTTATTCCCACAGCTGTCAGCACACCCCCTGCCATCCCATTCCACACCAGGGAGGGACTGCTTCCTCTGGGTATTGCTGCAGAGCCGGAAAAGCCATTTGGACAGGACACTCATTTCTATTCACAAAGATAAATCCTTTATTTAGTAAGAACTCTCTACACACAGATGAAGGACAGGATTTGGGGTAAGGAGTCTTCCAGCAGAAAGGTTATGCAATCTGATCTCAACTAAGCCTTTTGTGTTGGTCTGGGACATCTGCCACCTTCCTGTACATTTCCATTCTGAAAAGAAACTTGAATGTCATTTAAAATCTCATTGTTGAGATGTAGGTAAGAGAGAGATAACCTGAGGGTCCATCTGCAAGGAGCAAAACATCCACTTGTAAAAACAACCTCCCTACCAACCACACATTCAGTTATCTAACTTGGAGGTTAAAATAGCCAGAGTTGTTGTGTTGTGACTTCATATCCTGTGCCTACTAAGTTTTCACATGGGAATTAGAGCTGAATCCTGTACATTCACAGTTAACAGCTGACTACACCTTGCAAGAAGCAACCCATTTGTAACAGCCATTTCCCACAAACACATTTCCTTTAAAAACAGAAAATGAAGAAAAAAAATAAATGGCTTTTTCCACTCTAAAATTGCAGACAAAGATTTTATAATGGGGGTAGATGACTTGAATTTTGACAACCAACCAGCTACAAGTCTGGAATATGAAAAGCTGCTGTTTAGAAAAGTGATGCAGAGCAGAATTATCAAGATCCACAAAAGCTGGGGGAGAGCTCCAATGTGAGAGTTGTAAGGCTTTTCCAAGAGATGCCACATAGACTGTCCTTGGTGCACTGCAGTGAGTCTTTCCAAAGCCATGCCCTCCCATTCTGTGTTTTAAACACCTGCTTCAATGGGGACACATTGGAGTCATAGTACAGGAATAAAAAGTCAAAATAAAAGTGAAATTAAAAAGAAGAGAGCACATGTTTGACTTTGTACCAGATAGGAGACTTCTTGTTAATCTTGCCCTGCAGCAATTCACTCCAAAACAGCCACCACCATGCCAGGAATGCTGATCCAACAACTTCACAGTATGAGAAGGTTTCAGTCATCTCCAGAAACTCACTGCACTTCTCTAAGACACAAATTCTACTATATGACCTGCCTCTTGTTGTAGGAAATGCCTTAGTTTACAGTTCCCTCCTGTCATTCTATTTGCATAAAGCTGGACAGAGCTGCAGCACATCCACTGGCACCAAAGGGATGGCAGAGACAGGTAATGGCCATAGAGCCACATCAAACCTGTACAGATTTAACCGAATGTCCACAATTTCTGGTATTTACCACCTGCAAACAGTCCTCATTCCAGACCCGTAATGCCAAAGACTCTCATAGTCCTTGCAAAACTTATTCCTAGTGATAAAATCCATCGGTTTTCATCTGAAATCATCCCTGAACAGACACAATCCAGCTTGGTATTGAAACAGCTTTTGGTTCTGACAGCCTGGAGAAGAGAATGTTGTGTGGGGACCTCAGAGCAACTTTCCAGGATCTGAAAGGAGCCTACAAGGAAGCTTGAGAGAGACTCTTTGCTCAGAACTGGAATGATGGGAGAAAGAGTAATGGGGATACATTGAAAGAGGGCAAATTTAGATTAGGTATTAGGAAGAAGCTTTTCCTGTGAGGGTGGTGAGACACTGGCACAGGTTGCCCAGGGAGGCTGTGGCTGCCCCAACCCTGGCAGTGTTCACAGCCAGGTTGGATAAAGCCTTGAGCAACCTGGTCTGGTGGGAGGTGTCCCTGCCCAGGGTAGGGGGTTGGGACTAGATGATCTCTGAGGTTCATTCCAACCCCTTAACATACTAAAGTAGGATCTCCCGGCTGATTCCTGACTCCATGTGCTCTGTAAGCACTACTGGGATGTCCAAGCCCTGCAATATAGAAAACTGTTCATTGAGAAAAACCTTTTCCCTTCATCTTTCAGACCAGAGACATTTCTAATACTCATGGCAAAAGAAAAAAGAATAATCTTATGATTGATATATTACTCTGTACAGCCTTTGCCTGTTACCTGCTGCAGGAACAGCAGACGTTTAATTCCAAAAACAATCTCTCTTGCAGGATGGGGAGGGATGGGGAAGGGAAGACACACTGTTTGGGTTTTGTCACAATGAAGGAAAAGGAGATTCCTCATAAAAAGACTTTTCAACAAGCCTCTGCTGTTTCTGGCAGATAACTGCACCTTTACCTCAGTACTGTCAGCAGCTAAACCAGGAGACAATTAGGGAAAATAAAGGGAAGACTATACGCTGGAGTTCTGCACTAGAACTACATCAACAGGGCTTCACTCTGCCTCTACACTCCAAGGATGAAAATTAAGGTCTTTGCCTTTGATACACTTTTAAAACCATTACTGGTGCCAGACTGGGGTTTTTCACCCATTGTTTTAAAAGAGAGAAAGTAACTAGCAAAGGCTTATCTCCCTTTAAGTTCCTGTTCCTATATTTAGTTGCAGGGGAGGGTAAAACACAAAAAAATAAATGCTACTTGCAATTAAATTTCCAGAAGCACCAAATTCAGCCCTTCCCTAGTGCCCACACTGAGAAATTTTGCATCTGATTTACAAACGTAATTACATCAGTGTAATTATCCTGGTGGAATTCCCCAGAAATAACAAAGTTCTTTTTCAACATCCAAGAGAAAGATTTTAATTTTTAAATTCAACATGAAGAATTACACCAGAATAGCTCATGCTAAATGGAGATGATGAATTTCCCTGAAGAGACAAAGGCCTAAAAATACAATCCTGTTGTGCTGGGCTGACCTTGGCTGGATGTTAGGTGCCCCATCCCTGCCCTCCTTAGCTGGACAGGGGAGAGAACGGACAGCAAGAGGCTCCTGTGGTGAGGTAAGGACAGAGAGAGGTCACTCAGCAATTACTGTCATGGGCAAAACATGGGGAAATTAATTTAATTTACTGCCAATCAGAAATCTGAGTAGGGTAAGGAGAAAATGAAACCAAATCTTAAAACATGTCCTGCCATCTCTCCCTTCTTCCTGCAGAGCTCTTTCTCACTCCTCTCTCTCGCTGCAGTTGCTCTTACAAGTGTTTTCCTCCCATCCCAAATACATTATCCCAGCAATGCATTATCCCATTGCTGACAGGCTTGTCCTTGTCCAGTGCTGGGTCCATCCCAGAGGTGGCTGGCACTGGCTCAGGTGGACACAGGAGAAGCTTCTGGCAGCTTCTCACAGAAGCTTGTCACCCCTGTAGCCCCTCACTACCCAAACCTGATACACCCACAGTGTCCTGCAGATCCCAAAGCCTCAGGTTTCCTGTAACTGGAGAAGTTTCGGCTGATGAAATAAGATTATTATAGCATCATTTTCAGCATTATCCAGGTCATTTTCTCACACATTAATGAGATAACAGAAATTTATGGAAGTCTTTATTGACTCTTAATTGCTCCCTAAGACCGTGACTGAACTAGAACATAACTGCATTCTGCTTCGACTACTGGAGCAGATGCTGAGGATACAGAATGCTCAACTCAGATTTTTTTGTTTAAAATACTGTTAGCTTTCCTTTTCTGAAAGTGCAGTATGAAAGTATGCACTTCTGAAGGGTGAGGTGGATGATTCCAATATTTAGTTTGCTACTAGAAGCCTCTAATATTTTACTGAGGCTTTTCTTATTCTTTACAAGGAAGAACAGTTAAAACCAGAAGAATGTAAATTGCATCTTCCTCACTAGAAAATGAGTTCAAATTAGCCCAATTACAATTAAAACATGACATATTTATCAACCATTAATGATGAGAAATAATGTAAATCAAGGACAAAATCTGTTTACAATTTAACAAACCACATCAAGCGACTACCAGGAGAATTCACCAATGCCTAAAAACTGCCATAAATGACACACTGAGTTGGGAAGTTGAAAGCTTTTGAAAAATCTCAGCTTTTGCAGATGCCACTGAATATTAGAGATTTCTAAAGATGCAAAAATAGAACTCCTTTGGTTGAAATTATGTCCCTCTGTGAAACTGTAAAACCCAGAAGTTTTTGAATGCTGACTTAAAAAACAAGAGCTGTATTTCACTGTGCATTTTGAACCTACTATACAAGACTGATCCAGGGTTGTACTTAGCATGAACAGTTCCCACAGCCTTTCACACTATTGATAATTTCTTCTTCTAGCTTCTTCCTTTCCTCTTCTTTGGACACTTGGTTATTTCTCTCTTCCCAGTTTGGATTGTTGTGACTGTTGAGCACTTTGCTGCTCTGTGTGTGCCACATTTCACAGTAGAGGTTGCTGGGATTCGCCAGGAGCTCTGTGTGTCTGCCACGCTCCACAACCTTACCCTGCAAAACAAGGGAGTAAGTCAGAATCCATACCACCAGATCTTTGGGAATACATCAACACGAGGACCACAGTTTCACAGAATGGATTACAGCAGTTATTAATGAGAAGGAGCTTGGGACAGCAAGGAAGGGCTGAATGTGCACTGCACTCACTGGTGTGTCACACTGCAAGCTGAGAACAAGGAGCAGTGCTCTTCTCAGACTCACAAAAATGGGAATGTAGGTGCCTTTTGTACATCTGGACAAAATGTAAAGCTCACCAGCATGGCAGGTTTTACTACCTGAACTGAAGAGTTATTTAAAATAAACATGGACCTCTATATGAGAAGCAAGTGTTAAACTACTAGTGCAAAGGTCACATGAATGTACCAAAACACACATGTATTTGTCTTTGCTCAGTAACAAATACACATCAAAAAGCTAAAGGACAAGAACATACAAAGAATGATTTGTATTAGACAAACAAAACACATTTAAAATCGAATCCTGAAAACAATTAGTGTAAACTGTGTTTTTGTGGGGGCTCTGTGTCACTGCAAACTCTGCCATGAAAATCCTGTGAGCAGCTCAGTTCATCTGAGCTGTTCTCGAGAGCAAAAGACAATTTACTGACTACTGTGTGGAAACAGGCAGGAAGAGCTGGAGAGGAGAACTCCAAACCTACAGACAGAGAAGCACCACCACTCTTCAAATACCCAGACTCATCTTTTTACTTTGAGACACATTCACTGACTTCAAATTTAACTCCTATATTCATTTTTTTAGCTACTCTTTCTTCTGGGAAAAGACAGTGCTGTAAGGACAACTACACAGATTTGATATTAGTGCTAAATTCTGATCTGCAATGAAATCTACCTCCTTGTGACAGCTGCTGATAGACATGCTGGGAAAAAAATTGCGTCTAGGCACTTCTATTACTAGTTATGCTGGTGGAATCTGAATAAACATTTACTTGACCAACCGAAGTGCACAATTTATTTACAAACTTTAAGTAGTTCATTTGGAGTTCACTGTACTAGAGCCCAGGCTTTTGAATTATGGCTTTTTAAAAAAAAACCCAAACTCTTGAATAATCATCAAAAATGTAAATTCTCTGTTCAGCTTCAGAGCACTGAGATCTGTATCATTACTATAATGCAATGAGGATAAATTGAAAGAGGGGAAATTTAGATTAGATATTAGGAAGAAGATTTTTCTGTGAGGGTGGTGAGACACTGTCACAGGTTGTGACTGCCCCAACCCTGGCAGTGTTCAAAGCCAGATTGGATAAAGCCTTGAGCAACCTGTTCTGGTGGGAGGTGTCCCTGCCCAGGGCAGGGGGTTGGGACTAGATGATCTCTAAGGTCCATCCCAACCCCTTAACTTACTATGATACTATGATACAATATTTACTTGCTCGGGAATGATTCTGATTTACCTCTGCAAAGGTGCTGAAATTGTGATTCTGTGATTACCATTGCTAAGCAAATCCAGTGACAATCAGCCTGTCTGGTTCATCGCTGCTCCTGAGCCTTATTTCTCTGGCTGCTAACACATCAGCCCTGCTCGGCTGACAGGAGGCAGCGCCGTGTGGAGCTCGGGCAGTGCTGCCTCGGGAAGGTGCTGGGCACTCACAGGGATGTGCTGTGCTGCCTCATTCCTTCCCAGTCCTGACTGCACTGGCATCCTTCAGGAGAGAGCGCACCTTGGCCCTTCTACAGTTCAAGGCTGTGCTTTTATTTTTAATTTAACAGCTACACTAGAACACAAAACACACCTCTAGTAAGCTGTGAAGACTTGCATTGAAACCCAAAAGCCGCAGATTGCCTTAGAACATGTTTAAAAATTCTTTGCAAGATGTTTTAACATGCAGTTACAGAAAGGATATACCTTATGAGGTGATTTTTCAGCAAAAGGTAAAAAAAAACCCAGATAAAAAAAAGCATAAGAACTCCATGGAGCCCTAGGAGTGATTTATTCCATTACTTCATCCTGAGCTTCACATAAAGCTGAGATTTGTGTAGCAAAGAGAGTCATGAATGTCACCATTTCACAACATTTTGATCTAATTGCCCATGAAATCATTCAATGTACTAGAGCAATTAATTTATTTGCTTTTAGATGTGTCTTTTAAGTCACTAAATATACCTATGATCACAAGCATATAAATAGCAACTGATAAAAATGAATGCAGAGATAAATTTAACATCTCTTATGAGCAGATTAGAGTACTGTACCCTCAGCATTATCAGTTCAAAGAGTAATTATGAAGTTATCATAAGAACATTTGTTTATTTTAAATCTCTTGCCAGATATGGGTAATAGAGAAGAAAATGGACTTTGAGCAGACTGAGCATGAGGTAACAGCTTGATAGTGATATAGGTAAATCAAATGTTGAAACTGTTTTTTTCTTAGAAGAAAAGCCTACAGAAAGGGAACAATCACACTTTTCTACAGGTACAACAGAGAATGCTGTTCAGATTTATAACATAATTAGAGTGAATCCTGCAACAGTTCTGTCTGCATGGAAACAGAACATGCTGTCCTTCCTCTTTCCATGGAAAAAAACAAAATGAATGTACATGAAAAACAGACACTCAGCAATGAGAGTGAAGCATAAATTGGGAGAACACATTAGGAAACCTCATCTGCCAGAAGCATGTAGTAAATCAGATCAAACACATGCAACAGTGAGCCATAAAAATAACATACAAGAGAGTCACACATGCAAGTCTATGCAACTGATCAACCGTTAAGTTGCAAAGAAGAGAAATATATAAAAAGCAAAGCTTGGGCTAGAATTTTCCTGCATGGTTCACTTCCAAAGAAAGGCCTTTCAGCAGCTTGGTGGGAGTGTAATAATTCAAACTGGAGACAGAGAGTCCCTAACCCACCACTGACATGATGTGAAAGTCAGGCAGCAGCAGGTGATCCCCTCACCTGATCCAGCACAATGATCTCATCTGCATCCACCACTGTAGACAACCTGTGAGCAATGAAAATGGACGTCCGATGCTTCACCACATCCCTCATGGCATTGAGAATGTTCTGCAAGGTTGGAATAGAGACAAACTCTTAGATGCTCCTGGGTGCTATGAGGAAAAATAAAATGCTGCTGGAAATATGCAAATTACTGTCAATAAGTGTTGAGAAACATCTCTGGTACTGCTATAGCTTCACAGTAACAAACAGCCATGAGTACCTACTACGGAAACAGAAAAATCCCAAGCATGAAATATCTGTGACTCTGATAAAGCCTCGAACTGCAGAAAAGGCTTGTATTCAACAGCAAAACACAGCTATCCCAAGGGACTAAGGAAGAGAAGTGCCACTTGATTTCAGGAAAAACTTCCCCATGGAGCCATGCTACAAAAGCAACAACAGCAGTAAAAGCATCTGAAAATAATAACTCATCATCATTATAATACTTTCCAGTGAATGTTAAAGGAAATATCCCCCTCTATCATGACAATGTGGGACACACAGCTAGAGCAATTCTGGGAATTATCTATCTATCCAGTATTTCCTTTGTGAGCACTCTACCACCTTCCCAAACTGTATTCCTCTGCAAAGAGCATTAGCTGGGAATTTGTGCCCTCACTACCCTAAGTGAAGTGCCCACTTCATTTCCCTGAAAACTATCTTTTCTTGCCAGAAAACATTCCCACTCCCAGACATACTCCTATGGAAAGGCCTCATTTTCATTTGCTGTCTTTCAAGTGCATTTCAGCTGTGAAACTTTCAGCTTTGCTTATGACTTTTGCAACAGATTCAGTGAAATAAGAGAGACAGAATCCACACGCTGCTGCATAGAACTGTGTTTTGAATGTTTCTGGCCCATGAGGAAGCTGTGCTGCATTTCAGTGCTGTGCTATATGGATGTATCTGGAAAATGAAAGTAATTTAGTGATTACAGGTCAATAAATTCACTCAATAACCTGCACAAGTGAACACAGCCATAGCTTAGCCCTAGCTTTTGATGATATTAGTTTGGGAAATTACTGCTGGTGCTGAGAGGTTTGTGCTTAAGCACAGATGTTGTGATGAAGCCTAATGCAGTTCCTGTCCTAGTGACATGCATGTCACAAGACAACACTCTGGTGTTTCACAGCCTTGCCAGTGAACTGAACACCAAGGAATAGCAACACTGCAGGCCACAACTACCTGATTTGCATCTCAGAAAGTTGCTGCAGAACAAACAAGAGGTTTTCTGTCCTGCATTATGTCACAGCTATTTAGAAGGCATTTTTGATGGATGCTGGATGCCATCTAAACACCTTCTAAAGTAGCTTGGAAAGCTTCACACTCCCATAGCCACCTGAGGTGTTTGCACAAGTTTCAAGGGATGAATGTTTAAAGGTGAATGGGACCTCCAGAGTGTAAATAGAACATAGCCCAGAGACAGCAGATACCCCTCAGAGACAACTGATATCCCTCACTATGCATTCCAAACAGACTCAGCATCTCTGCTCTGGCCTTTAGGACAACAGCTTAGACACAGGATCTCTTAATAATACTGAAAAAAACACTTGATAGCAATTTGGCAAAGAGAATAGAATTCTTTGTGAGAGGAAAAGAACACAGAAAAGCATCAGAATGAGACATCATTGCACCACTTAAGGTTTAAGGATTTTTTATCCCAATTTACCTCTTCTGTAATTGAATCAAGAGATGATGTGGCTTCATCATAGAGAAAAACAAACGGCTCCTTTAACATAGCTCTGGCAATTGCAACTCTTTGCTTTTCTCCTCCTGAATGAGGGAAAAAGAGAAAAAAAGATGAAGTTACAACCACAACCATCTAAATTTAACAGCTGACATGACTTTCTAGGGTTGGTTTTATTTTTTTTAAAATAGACATCATAGTTGCTGCTGACATGTAACATAAGACACCACACAAGTTTCTGCTCCCTGGTAAATCCGAAGTGATTGAAGATTGCTTATCCTTTTGGAAAAGGACAGAGAAATATTTTGTATCTGCTACCAGGCAAGACTCTTGCACAGGTAACTAACAGTGCTGTACAATTGCTCACTCTATACACCTGAGAGTAAAAGCTCTTTTACCTGGCCAAAGCTCTGCCCCATGGAGTAGCTACACACACAGAGCCTGCTGTCTCTCATAAAAAAATCAGTGCTCTGTCCATGCCTGCTGTACTGGCTTTCATGTATCTTGCTCACATATTGTGTCTTTTAGGGCTTTCTTTGAGTACTGCACACAGTTCTGGTGTCCCAACATAAGAAGGACATGGAACTGTTGGAGCAAGTCCAGAGGAGGCCACAAAGCTGATAAGAGGACTGGAGCACCTTCCCTACAAAGACAGGCTGACAAAGTTGGGGCTGATCAGCCTGGAGAAGAAAAGGTTGTGTAGGGACCTCAGAGCAACTTTCCAGGATCTGAAGGGGCTCCAGGGAAGCTGGAGAGGGACTTCTGGTTAGGAACTGGAGTGACAGGACAAAGAATAATGGGTATAAATTGAAAGAGAGGAAATTTAGATGAGATATTAGGAATAAGTTTTTTGCTGTGAGGGTGGTGAGACACTGGCACAGGTTGTCCAGTTAGCCTGTGGCTGCCCCAACCCTGGCAGTGTTCAAAGCCAGGTTGGATACAGTCTTGAGCAACCTGTTCTGGTGGGGGATGTCCCTGCCCAGGGCAGGGGGCTGGGACTGGATGATCTCTAAGGTCCATTCCAATCCCTTAACATACTATGATACTATGATAATCACCTAACCTTTCACTCCATAATGGCGAATTTCATTCAAGAACACAGTTAATACGGTTCTGAAAACCACCTCCAGTATGCAACCTACAGTCTGTTGGTTTCTGATGTAACCAAGTTTCAGACTAGTTTCCTTCCTTCACAATTCTTACAGCCAACATCTACTCAGGAATAACTCAGGGCAACTTTTCCAGACAAGAAAACAGGTGCATTTGAGATCTTAAAATCTGCTAACCATTTGGTATGCGACGCAAACACGTCACATTTGTGCACTTGTCCTCCTTTGTTTTACTCAAGCCTTCAAAACATTCCATTTAATACCATTATATCCTTGTTAAGGTTCCATTCCTATCAGGAGAGAACATGCTTTCATAAACCATTTAAAAGGCTGTTGGTAATGCTGCAGTTTGCATTTTAAACTGTTTGGCAGAACTCAGGAGCAATTAGAACTGTACCATTCACTCGGTGTATTTTAATGTGCTCTCCCTTCCCTTTGCAGCATGTTCAAAACTCACAGCTTGACAATATCCGTGTTTGAAAGACATACTACAACAACAAAATCCCTTACACTTCTAGCAGATCCACTTGTTCTTCCCCATTCACACCCAGGACAGCAGCACATGAACTGTTTCATTCACAAAGTCAGGGATCTGGGGCTGTTACAGCTCTGTCCATAACACATCTATCAGAAAACACATGTGGATTCTACTTGGAAAAGCCCAAACAGCTTGTTTCTCACTCTTTACTCTTGATGAACCAATCACTAAGACTAGTAAGAATTGCACTAAATGCATACTTCAGTTCTCATTGCAACTAAAACCTAAACCTTTCTCCAGAGAACTATTTTATATGCTCTTTCCTCTTCCAATACAAACAAACCAGGCAAGGAACACACTTCTCTTCCTTCCTCAACACTACTTTTGTTGAAGCCCTGGCAGCTAGTGCTTATGTGTGGCAGCACAAACTGAAGGATGGAGTAGAAGTCTAACCCATGTTCACAAAGGCTCCATTACAGCAGTCTTGAGGTCAGAAGAACCTCATCATACCTGCATACAGTGCTTCAGATTTAGAATGGGACATAGAATCATGGAATCATTTAGGTTGGAAAAGCCCACTAAGATCATCAAGTCCAACCATTCCCCCAGCACTGCCAAGCCCACCACTAACTCATGTCCCCAAGTACCACATCCACACAGCTTTTACATAAAACTTCATCACTGCCTTGTACCAGGGCTTGACAACCATTCCAATCCCTTAACATACTATGAAACCTTCTCTCCAGCTGTGCCATTACTTGTTTTGTATCTTCTATTCCCTCCCCCCAGTTTGTGCTTCACACATTTTATTTCCCTTCTAACCCTCTCTGTATTCCCCTCCTGCAGCTGTGCATACCTTCTCCTGCACACACGTGCTGGGTACAGGCTCTCACCTCTGATCCTGTTTCAAAGGGACCAGAACTCCTGACTGCAGCAGCTGCATAGTAAGAAATACTGCACAGAGCTGTCTCTGCCACAGGCAGCACCTCTGCCTGCACCTACTGCATCCCTTTGCTCCTGCCCTTCCCTATGGAAAGGGCCCAAAATGACAATGCTGCAACAACATAGCCCACCGCTTTACTGATTATCAATAGCAAAACCAAAACAGCATTCACCTGTTACAAGTAGAGATTTAAGCACTGATATTTGGAAGCTCTATGCATATAGATCAGCCTGTTACATCCTACATGCAAAGCACACATACAGCAAGCTCCCAACTCTATTCCACTACCCAAATAGATTCTGAGAAAGATCATTTTCACATCTCTGTGCTTAGGTATCATCTCATTGAACACTATCCCCTGAAAATACACTCCTTTGAATATCTTGCAGACTACAGCTGCCTTAAACTACAGATCTCTGTATTAATATTTAGCCTTTACAGTAACATATTTTGGGCCCTTCAGTCCAAGAAAGATATTGAGGCGCAGAAGGGCAATGGAGCTGGGGAAGGGTCTGGAGCAGCAGGAGCAGCTGAGAGAGCTCAGCCTGGAGAAAAGGAGGCTCAAGGGAACCTTCTCACTCTCTACAATTCCCTGACAGGAGGCTGGAGCCAGGTGGGGGTCAAGCTCTGCCCTCAAGTAACAAGTGACAGGATCAGAGGAAACAGCCTCAAGTTGCACCAGGGGAGGTTCAGGTTGGATATTAGGAAAAATTTCTTCACTCAAAGAGTGGTTAGGCCCTGGCACAGACTGCCTAGGGCAGTGGTGGAATCATCATCCCCGGAGGGATTTAACACATATGTGGAAATGGCACTTGGGACATGGTTTTGTGGGCATGGTGGGATTTAGTCAAAGGTTGGACTTGATGGTCTCGGAGGTCTTTTCCAACCTTAACCATCCTGTTTTACAATGCAAATAAGCTAAAAGCAAGTCTCACTGAGGAATAAACCCTGCACTCAACTACGAGGTAGCAAGAAGGATGCAAAGAACTTGTGTGCCCGAGAGCCTACCTGAGAGCTTGAGGCCTCTCTCCCCGACCTGAGTGTTGTAGCCATTTGGCATTCTCAGGATGGCATCGTGGATTCCTGCCAGCCTGGCCACTGCATACACCTGCTCTGGGCTGGCTCCAGTGTTGCCATAGAGCAGGTTGTAGTAGATGGTGTTATGGAAGAGAACAGCATCCTATGTTTGTGGAAAGAACATTTGAAATCAGAAACCATGAACAACAGCTTAAAAACTGTCCTCAATCCATGAAAGAAATCACTACAGAACAGTTCATATTTTTCTCCAAAGCCTGAAGGTAAAAGTATTTGGGAAAATCTCCCAAAAATGGGATTAATACACTTTGTGTCCTGAATATATATATCTGTCATGCATACTTTCACCACTTTGCAAACTCATTCTGGGTGATAATAAACTATAAAGCTAAATCACTTAAAGCTGGAGGCAGTTTCTCCTGGGGAGGCTTAAACACATTTCAGAAATTGGATCTATATGATGATGTACATAAACCCGTAACAGTTCTTGGGAATAAAAAAAACATGGTGACTTTCAAAGGAACTAGAAACACCTCTGCATTAGGATTGGGCTCCACTGAACCACAGTGCCAGATACTGAGAACTACTATTGTGATGGAACTACTTGGGGAGAAGGAATTCAAATACCTGAGGTACAACTCCTATTGCCCTTCTTAGACTTTCCAAACTGACATCTTGGATGTTCTGTCCAGCAACATAAATATTTCCTTTCTGAGGTTCATAGAACCGAAATAATAACCTCACAATTGTGCTTTTCCTGAAATTGAAAGGAATTAAAGGTAGTGTCACATTCTATGTTGCAATTTACAATCTCCAATTGCAATTAATGCCACAGACAACATAATCAAAAGCAAACACAAGCAGCACTGCACTTCAGAAACTAAATTCTGCATTGATTGGCATATTTAGTCCATTTACCCACCCTGACCCACTACCTCCTACAACAGCCACTTTCTTTCCTGCAGGGACTTCAAAGGACACTCCAGCAAGGACTTTCTGCCCCTCAAGATATTCAAAATGCACATTATCAAAGGCGATGGTAGCAGTCTCGGGGGTGATCAGCAAAGGTGGAGCCAACTCTTTGTCCTATGAAAAGAAGAGTTCCACTTTATGTGCTGCCCAGAAAGTATCTCCAACAGGTTAACAAGCTGAACAGCCCATTTCCCAGCTCAGAAAAAGGCGAACAGCCACTCCAGCTTCAATACGTGGAAAATAATTATAACTTGCTGCACAAGTGACATTGGTTTGCTCCTCCTTTTCCCCAAAGGAGGTAAGAATTTCTGCTGTAAACACTGCGCCTCACAATTTCTTTTTGCAGTAATCAATTCTGCATCAATTGCCAATAAAAATTCAAGCACAAAGCATGAATACTTAAATCAAAAATCTCAATACCAACACAGCTTCCATAAAGCAACTTTTGCTTCTCTGCAAGGAGAAAAGCAACTGCTATGGCAGAAACTGGAGGAAGAGGAAGAACAGCATCTTCACAGAGCACCTTTCATGATGGAAAGTAAGGTAAGAAACAGGGTGAAATTATGGCACTGCCAGAAACAGCCCTATTAAATATCCAAATACTTTAGGAAAATAAGCTACTACTTACTTTAATTTTGGTATCTACACTGAGAAGTGTAAACAAGGTATTCATATCTATAAGTGCTTGTCTTGTCTCTCTGTATACTGTTCCCAGGAAGTTTAGGGGAAGAGAAAGCTGGAATAGCAATCCATTCACCATTACTAGATCTCCAACAGAAAGGCTGCCTTAAGACAAAATGGATGTGAGAGAATCAGGAGACTTGAAGGGTTATCCTGTTAGGAAGTACCAAAAGATTTTAAAAAATAATCAAGTTAATCAAGTCTAGTCTCTTTTATCCCATTTCTAAACCCAGATGTTTAAATAGCAAAGAAAACATATTCCTAGAAGATCAGATTTGATATAAGCCTGCAAGGAATGGCAATGTTTGTGTGGATTTCAATTCAAAAAAGATGTAATAGCACAGGAAAATAAGGCAAGCAGCATGCAAAGCATCAGGTTGTAAAATTGAAAATTCCACAGAAAGAAACATTAAGGGGCCTTTATAAGTTTAAAGTGGACAAAACAATCAATGAAAACACGAATCAGGAAAGACAATATTAAGTATAATTACAGACAAATCCAAATGATAGAATTTTTCATGATCAAGACAGAACTTTCATACTATATATACACCACACAAGTGCTAAAACACATAGTGAGACCCTCTGGGCAACTTAGTACCAAACAGGCTGATCAAGGGAAAACTCAGGATGCCACACTAGCTAAAGGTAAGTGCAAGGCCAGTTCAGCTGAAACAGGCCCATGAGGATGATCTGAAGCTGTATTTCTCCCATCCTACTTAAAGATAGTCTAAGTTTCACTAAGAACAGCCATAAACTGTACCTACTGTCTTAACTGTTTACAGTGTAACCCTTCCCTGCATCTCCTGAAGGGAGCAAAGCAGATGCAAGGTAGAGTGCATGGTATAAAGGTCTGCCCTTCAAACAGTTCTCCATGCTAACAGCATTTAAAGCATCATTTTTTTAACTCTAAAATCACCTTGCTTTAGCTGAGCTTCATCCCAATCCTGTACTTGAACCTTACACTGTGCCTTCCTAAACAAGAATGGCTTATTTTATATAGTAAATTAAACAAATATAGATTCAAACTAACATAGGGAACCAATTGTTTTGATAATGTGTCTTTATTAACCTAGGGAAAGTGAAGGACACTGGTAATAAAACTAGTGGACACAAAGCACATAAGTGTATATATACACACACACACACATATATATATTTACTGGGGAAAAGTTCTGAAAACTGCCAATGTGTGAAGGAAGAAAGAAAAAAAAGAAAGGATTTTTAGGGAAGGTCCACAGAAATATTTGTATTTCTATAAATGTCTTTTGATCCTTCAACAGAAACTTCCTGAACATTTTCTTGGGATCATTCTCTGTAAGCTAAACTTTTAAAATGTTTTTGATAAGATCATCCTAGTTACTAGTACATACACACGTACTATACATACTAATTAATGTATTGTACATACTAGCTACTGGGACATACATATATGCACACTGGAACACGTATCTGTGTGTATATACATATACATACATATATATATAATGGAATTAGTAATACTGCAAGAAGCAGAAATAGACAGAATTTAAGCACAACCTCTCAGAATTAACTCTGAAATCAACAATAAGTGAATTAAAATTAACACCTCTATTACAGATGAATTAAGGTAAAGAAGTTTTTAGCTTATAGACAAATGAGTTACCTGCAACGATGCCCTGGCTTGCAAGCACCATAATGGCTGTTAATCCAACACTAAATATAGCACTCTGTCCAAAGTTCAGGAGAGCTAAAGTAGAGGTAGTCTTCAGGGAGGCATTTTCATATGTCTTCAGGAACTCATCATACCGTTGGGCTTCGTATTTTTCATTATTGAAATACTACAATGTACAAAGAAATGAGAAATGTGAGTATCAAAAACATTAGACTGCCGAAGTCATTATAAAATAGAGGATTTCCATACTACAGGTACAGATACACACACAACTAAGAAGTCAAGTCCAACAGTCCTAGCAACTACAAAGAAAAAAATCAGACTATCCTGAGTTGGAAGGGACCTACAAGGATCATCAGTCCAACCCCTGGCCCTGCACAGCACACCCCAACAATCCCACCATGTGCCTGAGAGTGCTGCCCAAACGCTCTTTGAGCTCTGTCAGGTTTGGGGCTGTGACCACTGCCCTGGGGAGCTGTTCCAGTGTCCAAACACCCTCTGGGGGAAGAACCTTTTCTCATTTTCAAGATTCAGTTTACATTTTGCAGAAAGTGATGGTTAAGGCACTTCAGTCATGAAAGAAACTTCTCACCCTTTATTAGCAAACAGATGTTTCCAACCTCCACTACCAACCTTCATGCTACTCTGTCAATGCCGTGCAGCACTCCTCAAATAGATAATGTTTTCAAATACTATTGCTCCAATTATGAAGCCCTATAAAAGATAAACTTTCAGTCTGGAGAAGAGGTTATGTGGGGACCTCAGAGCAACCTTCCAGGATCTGAAGGGGCTCCGGGGAAGCTGGAGAGGGACTCTTGATTAGGAACTGGAGTGACAGGACAAGGAGCAATGGAGATAAATTGAAAGAGGAAAAATTCAGGCTAGATATTAAGGAGAAGTTTTTAATGTGAGGATGGCGAGACACTGGCACAGGTTGCCCAAGGAGGTCGTAGATGCCCCAGCCCTGGCAGTGTTCAAAGCCAGGTTGGATACAGCCTCGGGCAACCTGGTGTGGTAGGAGGTGTCCCTGCCCGAGGCAGGGGGATGGGGCTAGATGATCTCTAAGGTCCATTCCAACCCCTTACCATACTACGAAATTATGATTCACTTCTCTAAGGCTGACAGAAGTAAGCCAAGAGACTGCTAGTAAAGATTGGTCTTACCTTCACAGTCTCATAATTGAGCAGTGAGTCAATGGCAGCGTTACCAGCATCGTTATCGGCTTTGTTCATTTCTATCCGAAACTTAGTCCTGGGAAAGGAATGTTTCATATAGTCAGGCACTGAGGCTGAGGCAACACCAAGTACCCTGATGAACATGAGGGCAATGCCTTACCTCCACTGTGTAATTCCTATTGTGAATGCTGCATAGGCTCCTAGTGTCCCCAGAGTGACGAAAGCAAACTCAGCACCACATTTGTAATACTGGAATAGTTAAAAGAAAAGAGTCCTAATAATTTTCACAACTTCACTGTTGTCTCCAGCTAAGCTGTTCTTGCCCAAGGGTAGATGCCCCAGCCCTGGCAGTGTTCAAAGCCAGGTTGGATACAGCCTCGGGCAACCTGGTGTGGTAGGAGGTGTCCCTGCCCGAGGCAGGGGGATGGGGCTAGATGATCTCTAAGGTCCATTCCAACCCCTTACCATACTACGAAATTATGATTCACTTCTCTAAGGCTGACAGAAGTAAGCCAAGAGACTGCTAGTAAAGATTGGTCTTACCTTCACAGTCTCATAATTGAGCAGTGAGTCAATGGCGGGCAACCTGGTGTGGTAGGAGGTGTCCCTGCCCGAGGCAGGGGGATGGGGCTAGATGATCTCTAAGGTCCATTCCAACCCCTTACCATACTACGAAATTATGATTCACTTCTCTAAGGCTGACAGAAGTAAGCCAAGAGACTGCTAGTAAAGATTGGTCTTACCTTCACAGTCTCATAATTGAGCAGTGAGTCAATGGCAGCGTTACCAGCATCGTTATCGGCTTTGTTCATTTCTATCCGAAACTTAGTCCTGGGAAAGGAATGTTTCATATAGTCAGGCACTGAGGCTGAGGCAACACCAAGTACCCTGATGAACATGAGGGCAATGCCTTACCTCCACTGTGTAATTCCTATTGTGAATGCTGCATAGGCTCCTAGTGTCCCCAGAGTGACGAAAGCAAACTCAGCACCACATTTGTAATACTGGAATAGTTAAAAGAAAAGAGTCCTAATAATTTTCACAACTTCACTGTTGTCTCCAGCTAAGCTGTTCTGATTTTGAGACAAGTACTCTGATGGTCCCTCCCAACACCATCCCTGCTCTGAACTGCTCAAAGCTAAAGGCACAAGCCCAAAAGGAAAGCAGCAAGAAGGATTTAGACAAAAAGATTGGAGGTGATAACCAAGAGCTAGTGTATGTAATATTGCAAAGTTATTTCTGCCATTATCAAACATAAATGCTCCAGATATTTGTGCTGTTACCACAAATAAGTATTTGTTTCTGTGCTTTTTCGGTGGATTTTGAAAGCAAGCTGAAGACTGTGGAAGAAGAAATAAATGGCCTTGCAAAACAACTTAGGAAGCATTTTCTCTGCTTCAGGGCACATCAGAGAGAACAGCCCCAAGAAGAGAAATGAAAGCATGGTGGCACCTCGCTCACAGCCAGCTTGATCTGCAACTTCCAAGAGTTATAAAATGTAACTCAACATCAGGTGTTTTAAGTCTTGTTATTACATTCAAACTTGATTAAGTCAATCAAATCTTGACTGATTTAGTGTGTTGAGAACTCACACACAAATAACACACTAAACCTCAACATTCCTGGCCATTTCTATTCTGCTTCCTCACCATTTACCTGGATATATTTGACACTTGTGCACAGTTGAGTTTTCTGATTTTATTTTTTCAACAACTCTGAAGAAAAACATACGAAACTGTCCCCATAAATACCACTGGCTGAAGACAGGTGTCAAATGGAAGAATGATTTTAAATAAGCTGGCTCAAAGTGACTGGTATTTGATAATTATGGATTGCTGTCTTTTACAGCAGCTGCTTTTACAACCACCTTGTAAATTCAATTACTATTATTAATACTCAGTAGACACTGGTAAAAGAAAATGTATTATTCCTAAACGACACAATTCCAACAATGAACAAACAACACTTACCAGAATTGCACTGACCAGAGCCACTTCAAACATTGTAGGCCCCAGATTGAATACTAGAGCACTGAGAACAAAACTGATGCCCCTTGTACCTCTGTCAATAGTTTTCGACAGAGCTCCTGTTTGCCTGCTAAGATGGAAGGCCAAATCCAGATTGTGAAGGTGCAGGAAAACATTCTTGGCTATCCTTCTGATGGAATTTTGAGCTACTTTCCCAAATACTGCATTTCTGGCTTCATTAAATAACGCTGCCCCAGCTCTTGAGATACCATCTAAAAAGGGATGAAAAAGTTTACAAAATGAAAGTAATTATATTTTCAACTTCCATTCATGCATGAAATTACACTAGACTCATTCTTTAGATATTTTCAACATTTTTAGTTCGAAGGTAATTTATACTTAATTGGTCCAAGCTTTGTGCAATTTTTCATTTATAAACCATTGTACACGCATTTTCAATCCGTTTCTTTAGCAGCTGGTTATAAGAAAGGGCAGGATTTATAATCAGGAATAATTTCTATAAGCATTATTTCACTTTTTAATTGGAATACCAGAAGCAATGTCAGAGAATATTTGGAACACACATCGACACAGAGTAGCTATGAAATAGTTATGATGTGTTGAGGGCTGGAGCCCCTCTGCTCTGGAGACAGGCTGAGAGACCTGGGGGTGTTCAGTCTGGAAAAGAGAAAGCTCCAAGGGGACATAAAATTCCCTTCCAGTGCCTAATGGGGCTCCTACAGAGCAGCAGAGGGACTTTGGAGAAGTGTCTAGAGTGACCGGACAAGGGAGAATGGCTTCCCACTGCCAGAGGGCAGGGGTAGATGAGATATTAGGAAGAACATCTTCCCTGTGAGAGTGCTGAGGCACTGGCACAGGTTGCCCAGAGAAGATTTGGCTGCTCCATCCCTGGGAGTGTTCCAGGACACGCTGGACAGGGCTTGGAGCAATCTGGGCTAGTGGAAGGTGTCCCTGCCCATGACAGAGTGGAACGAGATGAACTTTAAGGTCCCTTCCAACACAAACCATTCTAGAATTCTATGAAATGTCCATCCCAGACACTTGGCAGCACAAAGGACAGAAGCTCTGCTGTCTCCCTCCCCTGAAGAACATTAACACTCATCCATGATTTGGGAATAGCACTTACAGCCAATGAGAACAGCAGTTGCCAGAGTTGCCGCAGTACTTGGTGCATCGCTGAGGTTCAGCATGTTTCCAGATACCTGGTTGAGGTTGTCTACTGCATATTTAAACATGAAGGGAACCACTACATTCATGGCCTAAAAGCATGAGAACATCAGTTAGTCCATATGCATTAAAACATGACTATTCTTTTTGAAATTGCTCTACTGTCATATTTAGTCCTTAAATACTTACTGAGAGTGAGATGGCTTTTGATTCCAAGCACAATATTCTCCAGACTGTTAAGTCTTTACTGCTTGGACTGAAGGGTTAGTTTGTCTCTTTCACTGTCTCCTTTTAAATATCAATTTCTATCCTAAACAAACTGTACACTGCAAAGGCACTTGACCTAGGGCTGAGCTCTCAGGACAGCAAGGCAAGCCTAGGAAATTAATCAAGCCACAGACAATGCATAACACACACAGTGCTACTGAATTATGTGGTGGGTACAGGCTGTTTGGTCTTTGTGCTGCTGACAATATTCAGTATGAAGCACCACTACTGCAAAAGAAACCACTCACCCACACACTGGTAATACCAGGTCATCAACATGGATTAAATCAAAGCTCTAGTGAAGGCCAAGAAGATAAGCTGAGCCATCCTTTGTCCCTCTGATTGTTAGTACTGTCTTAACATTTAGCTAATGCTTTCTATTCGCAACATCACTATAAACATTAATTTAATATCTACATTAGCCCTGGTAATTGGCACAGCAGCACAAAAGACTTTCTGTACAGTCTACAAGACACTAAAAATGACTTGAAAAAAGAGTTTTCAAACAAAACACCACAGTCATCTCCACAACCCAACACAGAGTCTGTCACTGTGTAGCAGGATGCTCTGCCTTGGAATGGGGTAAAACAACCAGACAAATGCCCTATTTGCAAAGCTATCAGGGGTAAATGCAGAAGGGGCATCATGCTGCTTTTGGTGTTGAAATGATGCTGAAACTAGTCTGACTCATCAATCCCAAACCTTCACATCCTGAGGGTGAGATGAAGATATGGTAAAACTGGTAAAGGAACAAATAAATTATACTACCGATAGCTTATCTCAGGCTGCTGAGCTGACACAGCTGCCCTGGAGACATCTGACTGACAGTCACTTTCCTACCAGAAAAGCCCAGTCCCAAATTTTAAGGGTAAGGTCTTCTAACATATCTCTTCTTGGAGTGTATGTATGAGGAGGATTCCTCCCTTGAGTGGGAATGTCCCTCAAGGTTACTCCTCGAGGCTGAGCAGAAGAGATTTGCTCACAGTCCCTGGTATGGGTGAGCAACATCAATATTTACTTAATAATTGTTTTTGCTAGCTTTAATACAATTGCTTCAACATTGCTTCAATATTGCTTTATAGTGCACTGTATCATAATAGTTGTTATAGCTTCTATGCTGTGTAGCAAATAATTCTGATTAAAACCTTTTTGTCTAATCATTCCCATAATAAATCATACATATTTCTATAAATATATCTGGTTTGCCATCCTTAATCCCTGCGGGACAAAGGTGTACAGAGGTTCAATTACACCTGTATAATCCCTTAGACATAAAAGTCTGGGGCTAAGATTGGATCCAGCTGCACCAGGCTCCTCTCTGAGGAGGAGTTTAGAAAGCAAGGGGGTCCTTTCTGCACCTCGGGACTCAACGGGAGCTTCTAACAAACTGTCTGAAGGTCCCACTCTGCCTGCAACAAATTGGCACAGTCAGCAGGATGGCAAATAATTTTGAGAAACAGACTTAACAGAATATTTACGAAGGCACAGTATACACATTGACACTGATGATCCTTGGTCAGTGGAAAATTGGTATGAGTGGGAAAGGATACAAGAGAAATTAGATAAAAAACAGAGACCACTGAAAGATAAAAAAGGAACAGATATTATCTGTCATGTATTTGGATTATGCTTAAAGGCTGCATGGCAGTAGAGAGAAGAAATTATAAAAGAAAGAAATAATCTGAGAGAAGAAATAAAGGAAACAAAATATGTAGAACTGTCTTTACAGTATCAAAATGACCGACTAAAACAACAATTAATAGAATCCAAGGGAAAGAAAAAAACCTTGGAAGAAAAATTAGAATTGACTTTAAGCCCCCAATCCTCTGGATGCTGGAAAAATGCCATAATTAATAGTATCCCCTGAGGATTGGGATGGTGATATTTGGTAAAGTCCTGATGAGAATGCTGATGAGGAAGAATGGGACTTTGATGAAACAATTAGACCTCTAGCTCCTAAAGTGGAGGAACTTCCAGAACTAAAAACTAGACCTATAATTAAAACTGAGGTTCCCAAAGGACCTCATCGAGGTCAGAGGAGGAATGAAGTCAGAACTACACCCTGGGACCCCCTGCAACTGGCAAATCTGGGAAACCCAGGGGAGTCAGAAACTGCGTATTCATGGAGAGTGAGCCTCTCAGGGGAGGGGGGGGACAGAATATTGCTGGATGGAAATGAAGCTGATGGATACTGGGGGCCAGGAGTCTAGTCCAGGACCTGAGCCTACAAATCAACCCCATTCAATAACCAGCAGGATTGCTTATTGGGCAGGAGGAATAGATGTTATGGAAAGAGGAAAACCAGCCTCCATACCCATTAACACCTTCACTGAGAGGAGCTCCAACAATGTTAAAAACTTACTTAATGGGGCAAAAAGATGAAATTAGAAGGGACTTAAGGCATAATGAAGAGTTACAAGATCCCCAAGCCCCAAGACAACCTATCCCCATGTGGGCAGGACTTTTGCATGATATAATAAACCATGCAAGGGAAATGGGCTGGGAAACTCATTTTGGGGAACAAACTCAGGGTATTGAGAGGAGTCTAAAAATTGAAATACAGAGACCTCCTGAACGTTGGGTGAAGACTTTTAAACATACCCCACCCGAGACAAAAGAGAGATCCAATCCCCCTATTCACTTTCAGGAACAGTGAAATGAGCCGTGGAGGATGGCAGTAACTTTAGGCATTCCCCATGCAGCCCTGAGGGAACAACCCACTGCAGTAACAGCAGACTTAGTCAAAGTAGTACAACAAGGGGGAAACACAAATAACAAAAATCCTCCACAGGAAAAACAGAAAACACACACCCCTAATCCTCTTGAGATAACAGAAACAAAAAAAGGAATAAAACCACTAAGCACTGGATGAACTTTGGTTATCACCTATCAATGACCTATCAACGGTCTGATGAGGATAGAGCCCAGATCTACTTGCCTGTAGCAGGCAGAAAACAACCTTTGAACTTTCTAATTGATACAGGAGTCCAAATGTCTTTAATCATCCCCACAGATGCTAAAAATGCAACTTAAATTTTAAAAGAAAAAGGGTCCATTTAACAGGACTTAATGGAGAAAGTATTATATGTCATACTGCCAAAGTCTGTTTATGGCTACCTGGGATAAAATGAATGACCTCAAACACATTTGTAATCTCAAACCATGAAGAAAATATTTTAGGATACGATATCCCTAAAGGAAAACTTTGACAATCGCCTAACAGGAATGTTTGGTCATTTCATCCTGCAAAACTCCAAATAGATTTTCTGGAGAAAACAGGAAAATTAATCTACTAAAAAATGGCTCCAGTTTTACCTGTTTCTACTGTAACTGATGCCAAACAGTATCCTATTTCTCCTGCAGAAGCCAGAGAAGGGGTAAATGAAGTAATTAGGAATTTAGAACAGAGGGGTATTATATTTAGAACTCACTCCCCATACAAACCAGACAGGAGCTGGCGCTTACCAGCTGGTTATCAAGAGCTGAATGGCAATACAGGACCACTCACTGCAGCTGCCCCAAACACTGCCAGTCTCACTGCCACCCTGCGAGCAGCTGCACACCTTGGATGGCACTTTTCAAACTTTGAAGCTCCCACTCTGCCTGCGACACACTGCACGTTTTGGTAAGAGCAGCCAAACCCAAACACATCTCTTGTAACATGCAAAACTCAACTGGATATGTAAACACACCAACTTTAGGACTTCCTATTTGCACAAGCGTGGCACAAGAAAATACTGAAAATCTTGAAGAAAACATAAAATTCTTCAGTTTTGTTCATGTTTCATCACTCATTCATAACAATGTGAAAGACAATTTACTGACAAACTTCATATAATTAATAGAATTCATTAATTCAAACCTAACCATCAGGATCTGAAAAAAAGGTCTCAAGTTTTTTAGCAGTTCAACAAGTACGTGATAACCTACAATCTTACAGTCACAGCAGATGTTAAAATACTTCACAGTGAGATGACTTTGCTAAAAGCTGAGGGTTTTTTTATCAGTATTTGGAAAAAAATTGTGCGCAGATGACAAATGATTTTACATGAGAAGAAACAAAAACACAAACCAGATTGAGACAAATATTTCAGATCTCTCCACCAAATGTTTTGGATACCTACTTGGTTCTCAATTGTCTTTAGGTATATCTATCAGAGCTAAAAAACTGTAAATTAAGTGAATAAAACTAAGTTTTGAGTGAAAGGAGTGGTAAAGTCCCTTACAACTTCAGTCCAAACTCAAGTGGGAAGACAGGCTTTTAAAAATTCTAGTAACTATCCCAGTATCCAATATCCCCAGAGGCAAATAGTGGAAGACAGGAACTTTCCCAAGAGGGGTAACTGGAGTTTGGAAAATACTTTTGTAAACTATAGGATCAATAACAATTTGAAGTTTTTTTTCGACAGTGCTTTAGGCAAAAGATATAAATGTCAATAGGAAGGAATCCGTTTTCTATTCTTCCCCCATTTCTCCCCTGTGAAATACACTAAAAAATCCCACAAACAAACAAACAAAAAAACCCCAAAAAACCCCCACGCGACCTCAAAATTCTCAATACAGCATAATCTAGACAACAACTGAGAGGATACAGATGAGATCTGAGGGATAGGTAAGGTTATTACTGGTTAGACTGTGACTAAAAAGAGGTTGAAAGATGAGGAGCCACTTCCAACACTCTTCTGAAATAGCCCTCAGTGCAACCTGAACGTCCTTCAGCATGAGGTCTGCTCTTAAAAGATGGGAACTGTAAAAATCTCCAATCTCCTCTCCCTTCCCCAGCATAACAAACAACTCCCACCTTGCCTTCTGAGTTACTGAAACT